TTGTTGGCTTCCGTCATGTTCCTTTTGCAAAACGTAATCACGGCCGTCAATATGTTTTGCTCCTTCTGCCAACTCTCCATACAACAGATCCTTTAGAATACGGTCTTCCTTCATTCTCCTTGCATGGCCCAACCAGGGAAGGTTTCTCCTGGCAAGAGCGGAGAAGATTTTGGCACGTTCCAAAACCTCTCTGTTTGGTAATTTTTCCCATCAAATTTCTGCAAAATGCGACGCAGACATCTTTGGTGGAAGCTGTTGAGTTCCCGCCTGTGACCGCCACATGTGGTCCACACTTCACTGCCATATAGAAACGTACTGAGCACATACGCTTGACAGTCGCTTAGTTTTGTACTTTCAGTTAGTTCAGGATCATTACATACCCGGTATTCAATTTAGCCATAGTTGCTGCTTTTGCGAGTCTGATGTTCACCTCTTCGTCAACGGAGGGTATTTGAAAAACTCAGCTAACGACAGATTATGGCCCTAAAGCAATATGATTGGAGGGAACGGTGTTTCTTGCATCATGGTATTTGTTTTTTCTGTGGACTAATGGTCAGTTTAAACTCTTCACATGCGTGAGAGGCGATGACCTAACCACTGCAGACCTTCTTCTTTGTTCGATATATTTGTATATAAGGCTGTAAAATATTACGCAATTTTTTTAAGGAATTAACGTCATGGTGTGGCCTTGTGTTTTCAAAAGTAAATTCGCTAGATGTTGCTCTAATAGGAGACCTATTCGGTAGTGCAGTAACAGTGACCATTCTTAACACCGGCATGTTGCCGGGGCCGTGTCTGTGGGTGCGCAGGTCAGGTCAAATCTGGCCCGAAAAGTTCTGGTGCAGAAGGTTCAGGGAGATGGATGGGGCAACTCCAGATACAGGGTTAACTTGGGCTCTTCTGGCTTGTCTCCTGCAGCAGTGGTTCTGTCCGCCCCATGTTGACTTGAGCCCTTGTGTAGGGAGGGGTGCCATGAATCTCGATTCTTTCAGGACTGTTCTGACATGTCCGGGTCAATGTGAAAAGCTTTCAAATATGTAATATTTAGTCCATGATGTGTTCCACGTGCCTGTGACTGTGAAGTATTTTATTTGCCAGCAGGGTTTCTTTCAGCTATATCTCGGGGAAGAGGGGGGGGGTTAAAGGGGCATACCCCCCCGGGAAAGCCAAGTACCCCCCTCCGAGCAAAAATATGTCCCCCCCGGAAACCCAAAGTACCCCCCCCCAACAAAAAAAATGCCCAACAAAAAAAACCTGCCACAGCTGGCACTGCCCCCCCCCTCAAAAAAAATCTGAAGTGCCGCCCGGGGGGGAAATTTCTGAAATAATCACTGTTTGCCAGTGGTCCCCCAATGTTTCTTTTTCCGGCGCCTCGCTCCAAATTTAGGTTGTTCCATCCTTACGAGTACACTTAGAAATGGTGAACACATTAAAACATGTTTCTGAAGAGTTGAGTAGAAATAAATAAAAACGTATATATGTCGCCAAGTGTCATCAAGTAACTTGAAACAGCTATGTGTACTCACATTGTTGTCATGTGTTACATTCGCGGCGCCCCTACGTGGAAGCCGTGGGGACCCGAGGCAGGGGCGTGCCGAGGACAAGTGGAGCATGCAGTGAATCCTGTAAATGGCGTCCCTTAATATAGACAAAAGAAGAAACTGGGTAAAAAATACTTTAAAAAAAAATCCCCTTGTCTTTCTAAAGTACGTGAGATTTTATGGGTTAACTGACTATCAAAGTCCTATCCATCCGGGCGAGTGCCCCCTTCTCATGGCCTTGCCCGAGGCCACTTGCACTACGGACCGAGAGCGACGCGGCAATATTTTGGGAACCACCAGGCTCGTCAAACAGCTGTGAAAACCTCTAAGACATTTGTGTACTGTGACGTCATAAAGTGTGTGTAAATAATTTGATTTTGTTGGTCATTTGTGTGGTGGGGTACTTACGTACGTACGCTGAGAGGGTTGTTCAAAAAAGAACGTGGGGGAGTGGAAAATTGGAATTTTTTCTTACGTGCTTTATGGGTTGCCCCTTTATTCTACATCGGCAAAAATATTTTTTTCCTTCGCCACCAGGTAACCAAACTGCCCAGCACCACACACAATGACAGCGTCGAAATCCAACATGACGCCCCTGCCTCAGGACGAGAAGCGCCACCCAGCGAGTGACCCCGAGCTCCCGCAGACTTCGGAAGACCGATCAATCCTCCACCCTCCAAACGCCAGCCACTCTGTCAACGGCGCCCTGGGCGACGTGCGACAAGATGGGAGCTCAAAACCCAGCGATAACGTTAATGAAAACGACGAGGGAGTCAAGTAAGTAGTTGTTCGTGTATAACGACGAGGGAGCCAAGTAAGGGGTTGGCATGTACAACGGCTAGGGAGCCAAGTAAGTAGTTGTTCGTGTATAACGACGAGGGAGTCAAGTAAGTAGTTGTTCGTGTATAACGACGAGGGAGCCAAGTAAGTAGTTGTTCGTGTATAACGACGAGGGAGTCAAGTAAGTAGTTGTTCGTGTATAACGACGAGGGAGTCAAGTAAGTAGTTGTTCGTGTATAACGACGAGGGAGCCAAGTAAGGGGTTGGCATGTATAACGACTAGGGAGTCAAGTAAGGGGGTTGTTCTGAAATAAAGACTGGGGAATCGAGTAATGGGGTTGTTCTGTATAACAACTAGGTAGGCAAGTAAGTGGTTGGCCTGTATATCGACTAGGGAGTCAAGAAAGTGGTTGGCCTGTATAACGACTAGAGAGTCAAGTAAGTGGTTGTCAAAGCAAAGCGAGAAATTAGTACTGGAATCTGTAGAGCATAAAGAGAAATTAGTACTGGAATCTGTAGAGCAAGAAGAGAAATTAGTACTGCATAAACAAGGAGATAAAAAAAATTCACACATTTTCAGTAATTTTGAATAACAATCAAAGTTATTTTTCATATCTGGCTGCTGGATTTTTTAATTCAAAATTACTAAAAATTTGTGCATTTTTTATTTGCATTCCTGCTCAAAATGCAAACTTTGTGAGGTTGTTTTTTCACTGATAAACTCCCAATTGACCAAGGACCGAAATAAACTTGAATTGAAGTCCGTGTAGTACAGTAAGTGATAATATTCACACAGTATAATTTCAAGAATATGACTTGTTGGGGTTTCCCTCTAAAGAAATGAAGAACTTTTGTCACAAAATAGCTAGCACTGAAAAGTATGTACAACTGCTTAAATAAGTGTCAAATGTACGTACAAAAACTTACTTTAAATTACTTAAATTGGTTTAATTTTGAAATGTCCTCGTTTTTCATTTTTTGCATCTGGCCGCCCCAACTACACCAGAGGGCGGATACAAGGAAAATTGGGGGGGGGGGGATTGGAAGTTATAGTAAAAGGTATTAAAGTTTAAATTTTTATTTTTTGCATCTGGGCGCCCCAACTACACCAGAGGGGGGATAAAAGGAAAATTGGGGGGGGGGGGGATTGGAAGTTATAGTAAAAGGTATTAAAGTTTAATTAATATTACTATTTTGGCTGTATGTGTACATTTTATAATAAGACTTCTACAGCTTGCCTTTATCCGGTGTTGACCTAATTATTGCACGCAAGCTGGCAGTTCAAATCCACGTCGATATATTGATTGAACCACTGGTCATTGGCGGAAACAAGGTGTAACAGGTGATGGAAACAGACCATCTGATTCAATTGTTATCAATATTTGCAAGATTCTATAAATTTCAAAGTTAATTAAAATGAAATGTGCAAATGTCGCAATGAGATTCATGTCATTTTTGTGTCGGAATGACAACTCTGGTGACGTCACGCGTCTTCTGTTGGTGATGTAGTCGCATATTGTTTCCTGAGAAAATGAAGTTAGTTCACTATAGCTTTTCAGTTGATGTTTGAATTTTTATTGGTCTCTATAGTAACTTAAGTAGACTATACAATGATTAATCTGGTCACTTGAAAATACACCACAGCCCCACTCCTTTCCTCATCAAATGTGACGGCTAGGCACCAATAGAAGAGACCCAACGGCTAAGCACCAGTAGAAGAGACCCAACAGACACACGTCAAATGTGACGGCTAGGCACCAGTAGAAGAGACCCAACAGACACACGTCAAATGTGACGGCTAGGCACCAGTAGAAGAGACCCAACAGACACACGTCAAATGTGACGGCTAGGCACCAGTAGAAGAGACCCAACAGACACACGTCAAATGTGACGGCTAGGCACCAGTAGAAGAGACCCAACAGACACACGTCAAATGTGACGGCTAGGCACCAGTAGAAGAGACCCAACAGACAGACGTCAAATGTGACGGCTAGGCACCAGTAGAAGAGACCCAACAGACACACGTCAAATGTGACGGCTAGGCACCAGTAGAAGAGACCCAACAGACAGACGTTAGAAGTTTTGTTTTTGTGGACAATTTTTGTGTTGTGGAATTTTAAATTGTTAGCCGGTGTCCGAGTAAATTCTGATATCATATTCAATTTCTCGTCCAACAGAATTCTCCATAGATGTAATGGAGCGTATGACCTTGCCCACTCTTGCTCTGAACAAATGGAGTGAAACCAGGAAGTAGAATCTTCGACAGTGAACGCACTTTCCCTTGGGACCAGCGTCATTATAAAACTGTTGCGTGCCACAGTAAGACAACCCAATGACCCTTTAAAAAAAATCTGGTTTACAGTATTCCAATTAAAAAGCGTGAATGCAATTCGAATTATCCCCAATTTTTTTTTTTATTGCTTTAACTTTATTTGAATAAAGACACGTACAGTAAACTATCAATTTTCTTGGCGTGGTTATTACTTATTAGTGTGTACAAAAAAATGACATATACGTATCCATCGAAAGAACAAACAGTTCGACAGGCTAGAGACTAAGTACTTCTTACTTCTTTGTTGGTTGGTATTCATAAATTGATCGTGACTTTATCAGAAGACAGCCGCGTCATCTGTTAAGGTAAGCAGAGTCAGGGCCACAAGAAATGACGAGGAAGGGGGACCGGGCTGGATTGAGACCTCATGACCCTCTGGGGGCCACCTTAGGTCTGGCGGCACCTGACTGTTGCCCGACTTTCATTCGGGAAAATCTGGGCCGTGATAAGAGCACCGAAAAAAAAGAAGAAGAAAAGGCAGTCGTTTAAAAGAGAACTACACATACACAAAGCTTCAAATATTTTATGTCGATACATTAAAAGAGCTGAAAACCGTGTTGAACGGAAGGAGGATTCAGGGATTACTTCCTCCCACTAAATATACCGAAATCCCTTGGAAAATATACTTTTTGCTGATACAGCATGTACATTATAAACATTAGACTACAAATCAGAAAAACCTTTTTTTTATGCCCTTTTCCCAAAAACCTTTATTTTATGCCCTTTTCCCAAAAACCTTTATTTTATGCCCTTTTCCCAAAAACCTTTATTTTATGCCCTTTTCACATCCTCTACCTCTTACTTATCCCTATTGAAAATTAATTAGTAAAAAAAAACAACAAAACACGAAATAATTAATAAAATTTAAATAACGTATTTGACGCCCACTTCAAATCAAAACTGACGTCATAATCAAATGCACATTTTTATTTCACAAAGTTTTCAAGCAATCATTTAAAGTGTCACTGCCTTTTCCCAGGCGTCCACAGTAGCGTCAAGGTCAGCCAACAACCCCTCGAGCTCCCGCGCCTGGGTATGAACATTGACAGCAGGTGCCAGGAGCGCTTCCAGGATCCCCACGAGGTCACGTGGTTCCACCATAGACCGGAAGCGGTAAAGAGGGACGCCGCTAGGGGAGACCAGAAACTTTTCGAAATTCCACGCGATGTCGTTGATTTTGATTGGTTCCCAGAAGCTCTCGCGTGTGTTGAATGCTGCCGTGGTGGGGTTGGGGCAGGCGACCTTCGGAGATAGAAAACAAAGGAATGGCTTGATTATTTTGGAGGTAATATAAGTAGAGACTTAGTCTTTTAAAGACAAATGCGTCAATGGACCTTATACTTATAGGCTGAGCTTTGCGTGGAGTCGCAGTGGAGTGTCATATCAATAAATCGTATATCTCAAAACATACATTTTGTTATGTGGACACATATTCACACTGATGTTAACGGAGCAGAAATTTTTGTTTCAACGGAAGTGGATCAAAGATTGACAGTTTCTGCGACAGTGAAACATACATTTTAGATTGGTGGGATTCTATGACAGGGGCGTAACATACACACATACAATTTGAATAACTGATTTTAAAAAAAAACTATAAATTATTTTATAAATTATAATCCTGCCAATGTTCACAGAGTTCAAACATGCAGTGAGTCCTTGCTATTTTACTTAAAACCCATCATATGGTTAGGCTAAGCTACTGAAGAGCTTTCAAGGACGCCTAAAAAGATTCTGCCCTTACACGACTAATATTATTTTGTTCGCATGCCTCCCCCTACTCACTTTTAAATAGGCGTAGAGCTCCGACTCCTTGTCGCCATTGACGTCACCTTTTAACATCAAGTGCATGTTGGGATGTGGCGTGTATCCACGACCCGGTCTGACGTAGTAGAGGCCATTTAATATCTCCGTGCGGTTCGCCCCCGGTTCCTGGTGACCAAACTGGTTGCTAGGGAAGCCGAGGATGGTGAATTCGTAAGGTGGTAACGAGGCCAAGAGTTGGTTCATTTGGATGTACTGTTTGGTGAAGGCTTAGGACCAAAAAAAAACACACAACAAAACAAGATGATTTGAAAATCCCCCCCCCCAAAAAAAAATTCTTTTATTTTTACAACATATATTTGAAGGGAATTATTTGGGATCAAATGTTAACTATTTAAATAATTCATTAACTAACTGAGTCAATAGGCAATAGAAGATATTTGTAAAATCCTTTTGAAATTAAAAAAAAAAATATTTAAAAAAAAATTAAACATTATAAAGCAATGTAATGTCAATAAATGTAATTATATATATATATAAAATATTATTATTATTGCCATGGGATTTAATAACATATTNATTTGTTTTCCAAAAAAAAAACGAAATTCTTTAACCCCCCCCCCCCCCCCAAAAAAAAAAAAAAAAAATAAAAATAAATACAAAAATAAATATATAAAAAAATAAACCAATACAAAAACAAGAAAAAAAAAACCATTGATTTTCAACAAGATTTACAGGTTACAATCTTTTAAGGTCCAATAAAATACTGAATTATAAGAGATATGAATCAAATAAACTTTACTGCAGAAAGTAGCCACGTTGACAACCATAGTCAGCTTTCCTTTGGTCAAACGGGCAATGCTAACGTCATAGCTGTCGCCGAGGTCACGTGACAGGAAGTCGTGCGCAGATGTTCCCGGTGGTGCCAAGCACTTTGAGAAGTAGAGACCTGAATTAATTATAGTTATATAAATTGAAAGAGGGGTAAAAGTCTTAACCAAAAAGTCGTCCCAGCTACCCATAGTAACAATGCGTGAAATGTGTCCTTTATTCTGGGTGGCCGAGAGGTCTAAACTGTCTCAAACCAAATAGCTGGTGGTCTGGAGTTCAATCCCCACCAAAGCCAGCATCTCAAGCACTCCGGGTGGATGGGACTCGTTGGACGGAAACCCATCTAAGAGAAAGCAAACTCTGAATTTAAACCAGGAGCGAGAATGATCAACACATTGATCGTGGGCCCCCTCAAATATAAGAAGAAGAAGATACAAAATGAGACCTCTAACTCTAATCATAAGTGACCATTCGTATTGTTTTTTTTTTAACCTTTGTCCTGGTTTGTCGGGAGCTGTAAACAGTTCAGTTCAAGACATACTTTAAAAAAAAACTCTTAAAACAACAACAACAAAGAAACAACAAAAGATCAAGTATTATCACGTAAATCTGATATTCCGGGCACATCTAACATAAATATGATTACTGCTGACCAGTGGCGACGCCATCAAATTTAACATGGCGGATCCCTTGCAGGTCTTAAAAAAATTTGGCGGGTCCCAAATAAATTCTCTTACATGTAATGTAGTTTACGCTTAATGAGCATATATACAATATGAGTAACTAATAAAAATTGACCAGGTCATTTGCCAGGTCCCAAGTTTTTTTTACCAGGTCCGAGGGCCCGGCGGGACCTGGTGTAGCGTCGCCACTGCTGCTGACCGACATCACGACACTTTTTTGTTGTTTTCAAAACCATACCTCAGAAACAGAAGAGCTTCTCTATGTCATCACAAATAATTATAACAATTTTTTTCGTTTTCGAATCCCAAGGTGCAAAGCTATTTTAAAATGTCTTGGTTTAAAATGGGAAAATTGAAGAGAAAAAACAAAAATGTCCTTAACTTAAGCTGTTACAGTTGGTGCGATAAAAAAAGTTCTTCTGTCACTTCAGCCGAATGTCTCAAAAAAAAAAAAAAAAAAAAAAAAAAAAAAAGCTTGTTAATTTTACAGAAGGGGGGGGGGGGGGGGTGGGCCCAAAATTAAAAATCAATAAAATAAAAAAAAAAAAAAAAGGGGGGGGGGGGGATTGCGCCCAAATTGAAAATTTCATAATTTAAAAAAAAAAAAAATCAATTAAAAAATAACATTTTAGATCAAATGGAGACGTATAAATACCCAGGTGTCACCATTGATAATATGCTCGTGGGATGAACACGGCCAAAATAGTGTTAAAAAAAAGTCAACCACAACCATTTCTACCTTTAAAAAGTGTACACTATCGGAGTTAGCAAATGTCTTCACTTATTCTCCAGTGGCTGTTTTGACACGCTAGAGAACCAGTCTCGATATCATGTGTTTAATTTGTTAACATTATAAAACGTAGTCTTGGCTAAAATATGCATTTATTTATGTGCTGAAAATGAATATGTACAAGGGAATAAAAAACAATTATTTCCATTTAATTCGATCAATGAAAGCGTCTTATCTCATCTTATCTCATCTTATCTCATCTTATCTCATCTTATCTCATCTTATATTATCTTATCTCATCTTATCTCATCTTATCTCATCTTATCTCATCTTATCTCATCTTATCTCATCTTATCTCATCTTATCTCATCTTATCTCATCTTATCTCATCTTATCTCATCTTATAGTATCTTTGATTATGATAAAAAAACATGGTTACCGTTCTCTGACCACTAAACGGTAATGGTCAGTAGTAGAGGCAATGTTCATAAAATGAATTCTCAGATCTAGGAGCAGCATTGGTTTCAGGTTTCGAATGGTAGGACCGATGAATTAGTTAATTAGTTTGTGACACTCGTGGTTCCAGAGTTAGGCGCCCTTCCCTCTCTTGGTGTTTCTTACTGCCTTTAGGACTTTGCCTCTTAACATTCTCACAACTTAAACAGAAAAGCAACCCTTCGCCACTGACCAGTCACTAAACAACTGGCCTGCCATTACCCAACTGACCAGACACTAAACAACTGGGGTGCCACCACCCAAATGACCAATCACTAAAAACTGATCTGCTCCTACCCAACTGACCAGTTACTACCCAACTGACCAGTTACTACTCAACTGACCAGTTACTACCCAAATGACCAGTTACTACCCAACTGACCAGTCACTAACAACTGATCTGCCACTACCAACAGACCAGTTATTTAGCAACTAACCAGTCAATACAATGGACTTACTCTTATGCAACTTAACTGTCACTAAACAGCTACCGTATCATTACAAAGCTGACCAGCCCATAAACAACTGACTTTTCATTACATAAATGACCAGCCAGTAAACAGCTGACCTGTCACCACAAAGCTGATCAGCCAATAAACAGCTGGCCTGTCACTACAAAGCTGACCAGCCAGTAAACAGCTGACCTGTCACTGCATAGCTGACCAGCCAGTAAACAGCTGACCTTTTACTACATAGCTGACCACCCAGTAAACAGCTGACCTGTCATTACAAAGCTGACTAGCCAGTAAACAGCTGACCTGTCACTACAAAGCTGACCAGCCAGTAAACAGCTGACTTGTCAATACAAAGCTGACCAGCCAGTAAACAGCTGACCTGTCACTACTTAGCTGACCAGCCAGTAAACAGCTGACCTGTCACTACATAGCTGACCAGTCAGTAAACAGCTGACCTGTCACTACAAAGCTGACAAGCCAGTAAACAGCTGACCTGTCACTACTTAGCTGACTAGCCAGTAAACAGCTGACTTGTCACTACATAGCTGACCAGCCAGTAAAGAGCTGACCTGTCACTACAAAGCTCACCAGCCAGTAAACAGCTGACTGGTCACTACAAAGCTGACCAGCCAGTAAACAGCTGACCTGTCACTACTTAGCTGACCAGCCAGTAAACAGCTGACCTGTCACTACATAGCTGACCAGCCAGTAAACAGCTGACCTGTCACTACAAAGCTGACCAGCCAGTAAACAGCTGACCTGTCACTACTTAGCTGACCAGCCAGTAAACAGCTGACTTGTCACTACATAGCTGACCAGCCAGTGAACAGCTGACCTACTACTCAACAAGAGACCTGCCACTAACACAGCTGGTCGCAACACAACTCACCTGCATCACACTGGATCAGCAACACCGCCACCAAAATCAACAACAACATATTTTCAGATGGCCGGCACTGTTACCAGATTACGGTTGTATTACCTCTTGTTACCCACAGTAGAAAGCACACACACCAAATAAATGGATACAATAACAAAAATTGAAATGTCTGGAATTTTTTTACGCGTGCTCAGAAATGACGAGAGCGTCCCACCACTATGATTGTTATGGCGACTCACAGTGAGCGATTTTCCCCCTGCCCACTGTGGCATTGGGACACACGGGCTGTGTGCTATAAATATACGGATGCTGGAGGCTTGTGTTAAGCTATCTTCTAGTCTTCACATAAAGCAAGGTTTTAGTTAAGCGACAGATGGACGCAGGCCTGATATGGAGTGTGTGTCTTTTAAGTCATCAGACATCTCTCAGATTTATATGCTTCCAGAAAGAAAAAAAAACGGGATGGCAGAGGCGGGGAGGGGGGGAAGGGAAGATGTCACAGGGCGTCAGCTAGTTAGGGGCGCCAAAATATGCTTTGAGATCATTTTATTGATGAAAATAATGTGTTTGAGAGTTGAAAAAAAAAAGAAAAGGGGGCGCTTTAAAATGAATCTTGCCCCAGGGCGTGAATCTTGTCACCAGGTACCGAACGCTGTGGCTACGCCCCTGCGGGGATGGTGCTGAAATAATTGATCGTTAAGTTCTTCGTGAGATTATAATGGTCTGTTTCAATTTGCATGAATTGATAGTCAGTAATTGAACAACCCAATAAGTAGTAGTGGTAGGAGGTTTCCAAATTAATATCAGAATACAATTACTCAAAATTTTCATTAAATTTTTAATTGGGTGGTTAAAAAAAACAAGTGGGGGGGGGGGGGGGGGGGGGGGGGCTTTGGGTGAAGTGATTTTTGCAAGGAGACAACAAACGTAGGCATATAAAATAATTGTCAGGCATTTGGCGGGGAAATCCACTCCAACCTTCTAGTACGCCACGACATGTGTCTTGAACTCACAGCCACCCTGCAGGGAAGGTTAGAATTCACTGCAGCATTGAGCCATTATTTCAGGCGATTAAATGGCAAACTGTGTGTAAAGGAAATAAAAGACAAATATATATGTGGAAGCTTGAAGAAATAGAAAGACAGGACGATGGAAGAGGAACATTTCGGCCAAAAGCCTTCCAAGAATATTTAGTATTATAAGATTAGATGGAGTATATTATAAAAGCCATCTTGCTTCGAAAGTATTTATATTATTGGTAAATTCACACACACACACACATAAAAAAAGCAACAACAAAACTAATTATGTTTGATTTTCAAAATCTTTTTTAATATTTGTTTCTGCAGAACATTGAGCACCGTCTCTGACCATTACGTTAGACATCGGTCCATAACCGGGCTAGTGGGCAGTTTATATCTTGGTGCACAGTTGACACGGTCAAAGTTTGACAGATTTACTTATAGTTACGAACCGAGTCTAACTTAAAAGGTTCGTTGGCTTCGTTGTCTAAGGGTTTAATTATATATATACTTTACAAACCATTATTCTCATATTAAATATCTTTATTACATAACTAAGGTACAGCTTCAACTGCCATTTGCTCACAAGAACACAACACACAATAATCTACGTCACATCCTATTTCGCGAAATACGTCACAAAATATCAAACATTTTATAACAACATCTACCCAAATACTTTCTAAACAACACGCAATTACCCAATACTTTCAAGTCCTTAACACTTATGCATCCGGGAATGTATAGTGTTAAATTGCCCACGATATATAAACATGACCACATGGCCATTCAAATTTATTAATTTAAAAATTTGAGACTGTGCTTTTAAAAAAGGAGACCGAATTCCGTATGTTAAAATCTTCTTAATTTTCTCCGTACAAAAATCCAATTACATGTACACAGTTTTCTAAAAGTCACTTACATTTTTAAAAAATACAATACATTCAGTCTCAGGAATAATGCAATCTTATGAGTAGATCATCCGTCCTAGGAGATTCAGTGAAATACTATCGCTCTATGATTTTAAAAAAAAATTATTATTATTTGCAGATAAAGACAATGTCTTGTTTTCATCATTTACAAAATCTAATTCATTAAATGACAACCCCCTCCCCCCTTGTTCACCCCTTGTACCGTTTATACTCCTGTATATTGTCTCTGCCAGCTAACTGACATAAACATGGATATTGCATTTTAGCGTTTAAACCTCCACCCCCCCCCCTTCCCCACGACTAGCCCTAACAATTCCGGGGCCTTACGCCAAACGGATTGCGCGGGGCCCAGTCTGGGATGTTCACCCCTTGTACCGTTTATACTCCTGTATATTGTCTCTGCCAGCTAACTGACATAAACATGGATATTGCATTTTAGCGTTTAAACCTCCACCCCCCCCCCTTCCACAGGACTAGCCCTAACAATTGCGGGGCCTTATGCCAAACGGATTGCGCGGGGCCCAGTCTGGGTAGGGATAAGGATAATAAGTGAAAATTTTGTATTAGAGAAAAAAGTGCGGGGCCCACTGCGCACAGGTTGCAGTGGCCCCCCCCTCCTCCCAATCTTAAAGGAGTACAACCGAATTGTAATAATAAAAAAAATGGAAAATAGTTGCTATAATTTCTGACCATGACATCTTGCATATTAAACAGGGCTTAACGTACAAATAAATTAAGGGGGAGAAACGTAATAACCTTTCGGTGAACTTTTTTCTTTCTTTCTCCAAATCTTAAAACACTGCTCGCGCGTAACTCCAGGTTCCGGCGTCGTGAACATCTAGGTGATCAACAGGATGCTCGCCGAGTCGCGATGGGCAAACACACGGACAGACTAACTACAAGGACGGTCACGCCCGAAACACACTTTGTCGATTAATTCTGACCCGACGGGCGCTCATGTCTATTCATCTGGGGGAGGGGGTGGGGGGGGGGGGGAGAAACAACAAACATTTCAAGATATGGGAGAGATGGTATATCTACGGCGAACTGTCTGTCTCTGTGATAAGCCGCTGACGCACTGAGTTACATGCCGGTCGTACATTGTTAAAGATCCTGGTCGTAGTATGCTACACCCCTGTCATAGTATGCTACACCCCTGTCTTACCCTGATACGCGACGGTCGTATACTATGCTACACACCTGTCGTATTATGCTACACCTCTATTTTAAAAAAAAATCCGTTTTACTATTTTACACCGCTGGCATGCTATGCTACACTCCTGTCTCATTCTGCTGATCCGCTGTCATGCTATGCTACACCTCTCTGCGTTCCTATTTTACACCGCTGTCGTACTGTGTTATGCCCATATAAACAATCACTTTTCCCCACGCACAATAATCGCTTGGAACCAACTGGACAATGCCGCCGTAGTCTTGACGTCAATATTAGCTCCACGGTTGCCCTAGCATCTGCTAGGAGCAGTTAGGATAGCAGCATCGCTTCCCCAACCGTTGCACATATGCAAGTACATGAATGCAGCAACTCACCCTACCAGAACCAGAACCATTATTATCCACGTCATAGTATGTTACACACCTGTCATACTCTTGCTAAACATTGTCATACTATGCTACAGCCCTGGCGTACTAATATTACGCCACTGTCATACCATATACCCCTTGTACATAATACAACGTTACCAAATTTCACATCATATAATACCTCTTTCATACCATGGTAAATTCTGTCATGCAATGTTACACTCTTGAAATATATACTCCTGTATACTATATTATACTCCTGTACATTTTATCAATGACCAATTCATGTCATGCTATACTTCATCGTATTTTGGTACCTATTGTCTCTTGTAACTTGGGATACGCCCATGAATCAGATGCATGAATATTGAGTTCGGATTAAAAAAACAAAACAATAACAACAACGGATTGTCGGAACGGTTTTGTTGCCCCCTCATCATACATTTGACTCCACCCAAATCTTCTCCCGCCCAAAACACCTTATCTTGTTATTGTTATCACTATTCATACACATCATTAAATTTAGAGGCCTCGGGGGTGGGGGGGGGTGGGGGTATGGGGGGGGGAAGGAGATACAATCGTGAAAGTGCATTACGATCAATACTCAGATGATTATTTAAAATATGAAGGAAAGGAACAGCTGTATATCTTAAAGACATCCAAACGCTTTGTAAATTCAAATAAATAGTGGGAAAAGATGTGTCTAGGCTATGAAAAAAAAAAGGCAGAACAATTTAAATTGAAGTTTCTGCTAAATGCCTTCTGCAGCATCTGTTCTCTCCCCCCCCCCCCCCCCCCACCCCTTAAACCACCCTCAGAAGCGAGTCTTGGCGGTGCTCCGAATTAGGACACATTTAAAACACAGAGAAGGGAACAGTGGAATAAGTTGTCGCAATGCATAAGTACGTTAACAGTGCCGTCTTAAGGCATTGTCTCACTGGGCACAGGCCCACGGCCTAACGCTTCTAAAGGCGGGGGCGGGGGGGGGCGTTCACTTTTAGGAGACTCAATCCTTTAGAAGCATCATGATTTACCTAATTTTTTTAGTGAATATTGTGGAGAGTTCGGACCACGACGGCGCCGGGGGCGTCAGATCTCGCAGCAGGGTTACCGGCCATCTGACCAGGTACAGCCGGTGCCATCTGACCAGGGATCACGATCGACTGATCAAAGCGCGCGTCAGATCTCGCAGCAGGGTTACCGGCCATCTGACCAGGTACAGCCGGTGCCATCTGACCAGGGAAGGGAGGGCGACTCGGACTCTCACCCCGGGCGCCAACACGAGGGGATGCCAAAATAGTCTTTATGTTGTACCGTGATAGTGAATTAAACGATAAAATCCAAAGTAGTTAACAAAGATAAGGGGCGCTCAAATACTTTTTTCTTTAATATGGGGGGGGGGGCAGGGGGGTCTTTTTTTGTCTTCGATTCTGGGACCGCTTGTCCTTGGCACTCCCTGATTATAACTATGAATCATGATTATACTTATCATTTTGATTATTGTTGTTGTAATCGTTATTATTGTTATTTTCATACATGTTTAAATGTATCGGCAGACAACTTGGTTGACACACCAGGACGTCGGTCGTGAGTTGCTGGCCCTGATGTCATCTTGTGACGTAGAGGCCTACGTGGCCATGAAGTCGTCAGCAGCAGTGCCGGAAGATGACGACACCATCAAGGAATTTAACGCCGCTTCATTGACAGCATTGTGTTCTGGTCTGCTACTTATGACTTCCTGTTTCATGAGTACGGCCCTGGTAGTTCTCACGTCTGGAATC